GAGAGGCAGGCAGAGCGACAGAGGGGACCCTTGCTCAGCTGCAGCAGGAGTTCAGCAGGCCCAGGTGACAGAGGTGGGGACCCCTGGGAAGGCTGGCCGCATGTTGGGGGGAAGGGGAGGGGGCAACTCTAGAGACTATACTGTTGCTAACAAAATGTGAAAACATCCCATCAAAAAAACAAAAAACAAAAATTCAGTTTAACAGAATGCCAAACTGCTATGCTTATTTTAATAATACAGTAACATTCTAAAATTCATATGGAGGAATTGGCAGGTAAGAGTAAAAAAAACTGATAATGAAAAATAATAAATGCCTAGATGAAATAGATAATAAAATATATAAACCCACTGCCATCGAGTCAATTCTGACTCATAGCGACCCCCACTGGGTTTCTGAGGTAGTAAATCTTTACAGAAGTAAGTTGCTCCATCTTCCTTCCTTGGAGCTGCTGGTAAGTTTGAACTGCCAACCTTCTGGTTATCAGTCAAATGCCTTAGGCACTGAGCCACCAGAGCTCCTTAATAAAATGTATAAAAAACCCACTGCCATCAAGTCATAGTGACCCCAGTTGGGTTTCCAAGGTGGTAAATCTTTACAGAAGTAGATTTTTCCGGTCTTCATTGTGTAGAGTGGCTGAACCACCAACCTTCTGGTTAACAGTCAGATGCCTTAGGCACTATGCACTACAATAATTTAAATAGTTTAAGTGCAGGTGTGTGGAAATAGGTAGTTAGATCAGTGGGACAGAATTGCTAGCCCAGAAACAGCTCAGAGATCAGGACCCCAGATATGATGGAGGAGAGGCCATAATCAGTGAAGATGACAGCTGTCACTCACAGTCAAGGCGACAGGAAAAATTACTATTTCAGGGGAAAAAAGTCAGATCTTCATCTCATAGTCTATACTAAAATAAACTCCAAACTAAAGAATTAAATAGGAAATATTTTAAACTGTTAGACAGAATTGAAACTCATTACAAATTTATTGGGCAAAGACTTTTTAAGCTTAGAAGCAATCAAAGAAATCACAAAGATGGGAACGTCATGTAACTAACTAAAAATGGAAACTTTCATAGGAAAGAAAAAATGTTTGTATAATTAAGTGGAAAAGCATACTATATTATGTCTTTCTCATTTTGTCACTTCTATAGTTAGTTATGCAAAGCTGTGAAGAAGAAGAAAATTCACTTGAAAGCAGGATGGTTAAGAGTTAATTAGTATATGATGTAATGACACTATGTTGCAGCTTTTATTGAGCAGTTTTCATTGCATAATTTATACAGAAATTCAAAACATGTCACTGAGACCATGTGGGAGATTCGCAGTTTCTGAAAAAGCACTGACCTGCAATGGTTATTTTCACATTAGAATGTGAACTCAAGCCGTGGTATCTCCATCACAGCTGGGTGACTTTGCCTTCCTATAATCATAGGCATCTGTAAACTTCCATCCATTCACCCACACTCAGTCAAACAGTGCCACTACCTAATTCGAATCATGGCTGCAACAATAACCACTCACTGAAAATTAACTTAATACCATTTACAATTTGATTTAAGAAATCAAAGTCATTTTGAAAGCTGACACTCCCCGCCCTGGTAAAACACCTGTTTTAAGCTGCATTATAAAGCTATATTACCTGGGGTGCACAGAAGTCGTCAATTTGTTTAGTACTGTCTAGAAAAGAAAACAGCTAGTTTTGACCAATTTGCTCCTAGACAATTTGCTTAAAAAACATATGGAAAAATTGCCAATAACATAGTAAAGTAAGTACAGCTGGCTGAAATGATTGACAGTTTTTAAGGTCTGAAAGAAAATAACATAATTGCTGATGTATACATGTAGAATTATATGACTACAGTTGAACTTTTGTTTCCTTTTTCTGACTATAGAAACACTGCAATGTGCTTTCCTCATTCCTGCCCTGGCTAGCGGGAAAATCAGAGCTATTGTTAGTATGCAAATGCTAAATCCTATGTCTAAGTGGTTTGCGATGTATTTATAACATTTCTTTAAACTTCTTGTATGTTCTCAAACTTTACCCCATGAAAAATCCTTTCGGAAGAAGGAAAGATGTGAATTTTGAGAGTATTTTAATAAACAATATAGTCCTTTACTACGATAATCCTTACTTCCCCAAAAAAATTACTGAACATCTATTACATGCCATTTACTCTGCTAGGACTGAGGGATGCTTTGAAAAACAAGACAGTCCCAGACCCTAGTCTCTTCACGGCAGGAGGATGTGGGGAGAAGTCCATGCAATGAACAGGTGGGCGGGGGCAGACAGTGAAGAGTATGTAAGTGAATACTGTATTATGCACTGTGATGAGGAGGGACGGACTCTGAAGGAAACCAACAGCAGGACCGGTTCTGCCTCAAGGAGTCAGAAAAGGCCACTTGGAAAAGGTGATATTGAAACTGACCTGAAGAACAACAGGGAGCTGCGTAAAAAGAGAAAAACAGAACTTTCTTGGCCTACCGAATAAATGCAAAATCCCTGAGGCCACGAAGAGTTCGCCTAGTCCCAGGAACTGAGAGGACACCAGGCCAACCGGAGGTGATGGACTAGGAAACGGGAGGAAGGGGAGGTGGGACGGGCCGGCAGGGACCGTCACGAAGGGACTGAAGGTTAGCTGCTGACTGCTTTGCGGTGGGGTGGAGCTGAGGTGAGTGTGTGGGACAGGAGCAGTTGCATTTTGAAAGGTTCACCCCAGGTGGAGGGCAGAAACGGCCTGGAAAGGACAAACTACCTGAGTGACCCTGGCAGTGCCCCAAGGAACACATCGGTGGGGAGATCCGAGACATGAACTCCCAGGAGCTGTTGATGGAACAGAGGCTGACATGTGGCGATGGGAGGAGGGGATCAGGCACAGAAACCCAAGTCCAAAGTGTGAGACGGGAGAAGAGGTGCTGCTAGTCGGCTAACAAGGAAAAGCCCCGTTTAGCTCGAACAGAGTAGTGAGACAAAAACAGCAGGAAAGGATTGTTGGTCCATCATAGTGAGCCTTAACTGTAAACAACAGACATTTGAACGCCATCCAGAAAAGACAGGCATGTATCGGAGGATTCCGAGCAGGGGATTTAGTCCTAAACCAGTCACCTCAGTGTTTTATCTGGAAAATGGGGCTAATTTTGCCAGCTTACTTGCAGCTGTGATGGTGTAAGGGGGTAAGGTTGGTGGTTCAAACTCACTAGCTCCACAGGAGAAAGATGAGGCCCCTCTACTTCCGCAAAGATTTACAGTCTTGGAAACCCAGTGGGGGTTGCAGTTAGCCAGACTCAACTCAATGGCGCTGGGCTTCACCTCCACTGAGAGTGTGCGGATCAGAGGACGTGGGCTCGGGGAGCACAGCCCCACGCCAGGTTTATCACTCGGCAGCGGAACAGCTGTTTCCAGGTCCTTCAGAAGAATGTGGGTCTCAGAAACACCTGACACGTGCTATGTCACTGCTCTGGCAGGTCAGCTGGGAAATCTGAGACGGAAGATGTCTGGTTCAAAAGGGGATATATTTTAAAGTTCTGCTGTAGCAGTCAAATCAGATCTGTATTTGATTTCATTTCATGTTGTTTAGAATGAAGTAGGGCCTGCAAGGAAGGAACAGCTGTTGGAAACAAAGACCAGGAAAGAATATAAACAGCAGATCGCCTGACTGTCCGATCAAGGACTACGATGGTGCAGCAGAGAAAGCGTGTGAGCAACTGTGCATGTGTGAGCGCACGTGTCTGTTCAAAACGTGTGTGCTAAGTGTGAGCAGATGTTCCAGAGAACGCATGCACAAGTGTGAAAACAGAAATGTGAGTCTTTGCCAGCATGTGCAGATCTGTGTAAGTGTATGTGTCTCTGTCAATGTGTGTGAGCAGAGGATGAGTAAGGAGCTCTGGTGGCACAGTGGTTAAAGCACTCGGCTACGAACCAAGAGGTCGACAGTTCTCTCCCACCAGTCGCTCTGTGGGAGAAAGATGAGGCAGCCTTGGAAACTCTGTGGGGCAGCTCTACTCTGCCCTATAGGGTCACGATGAGTGAGAATTTCCTTGATGGCAGTGAGTTTGGTTTTCTGACTGACAGAGTGTGTGTGTGGGGGGGGGTACACGTTAGGAGGGGCAGAGGAAGAGGTGGAAGGACAGAGAGAAGGCATTCCAGCAAAACTGGAACACTTCTCACACCATATGGGGCAGGAACAAAGCAAAGTACGCCGGGGACGGGGATCCCAAGGCTCTGCCGAGTCTGACAAAACCTTCCTCCTGCAGGGACCCCAAGCCTTTCCAGTTACAGCCCCAAATCTCTGCGGGGGAGCCTCACCGAGCTGAGCTGTCCCGAGAGCGCCGCAGCCATCTCGCCACCATGTGCTCTATTCTGTGCGCTTTCCGTGTCTGCAGCAAACTGCTCTCCAGCTCTTCCATTTACCTGAAGGAAGAAGAGTCTTCTTAAGAAGCTAACCAAAGGATTTTGAAGTGGAGTCTCACAAATCACTATGATAGCTTCTCTACTTGCCCATTTTCAGACCAATCAAGTAACTCTGGTGGTGTAGGGTTTAGGCATCTGCCTGGAACCAAAACCCACCAGCTGCTCCCCCACCAGCTGCTCCGTGGAGGAAAGATGAGCCAATTGGCTTCCGTAAAGATTTATAGCCTCGGAAACCCAATGGGGGTTGCTATGAGTCAGAATCAATTTGATGGCAGTAGGTTTGGTTTTTTGGTTTATAATTAAATAACGACTGCTATCTTCCTATGTGAAATCAACGTGAATGGGCTTTCAATGTCCACAAGAGCGGGCAGCTTTATCAACCCTCTGCCCTAAAGCCGCCACAATCCCGTAGGAAAGAGACGGGCTTTGTATCTTACAGAGCTAAACACAAGGACTAGAGAATAAAATAGAGAAGGTGTTTCCAGACTTTGTGACTATGACAGCTGACTCTTACTCCCTCTAACTGCCACCTCCAGCTGGGAGTGCGTCCCTAGACCACGCAGCTCAGTTCCTTCTGTGTTGGGAACTGCATGCACAGGAAGCGTCCTGAACCACTCGGTGCGTGTTTCTCTGAGTGTTGCTTCATTTGCTCAACATTTTATATATAATGTTATATATAAGACATATTTATACACAACAATTTGTACTTAACTTCTGAACAGGTAGTTCACGCATATGGCTCAAAATCCAGACTGCAGAAAGAGACAGACCATGAAAGGTCACCAGTCAGTGCTTACCTACCCTGTCCACCCAGGGCCCATGCCATACAAAATCACTTCCAAAGTTTCTTTATGCTAAAGAGCACATACAGGAATCAATTTTATATTTCCTCTTCTTAACACAAAAGGTAGTACACCATACACATTGTTCTGCACCATGGCTTCTTCCCTTAGGATATACAACTTTGAAAACTTTTCATACCAATACATGAAGTACCTTTTTGTTCTCATTGACAACTACTGAGTATTCCATTGTAAGAATGTATTCTAATTTAAAAAGTAGTCCTCTGTTGATAGGCATCTGGGTTATTGCCAATCTTTTGCTATCATAAACACTGTTGCAATGAGTTATGTTGTCCATATATCATTTTTACATGCATGTGAGTACATATCCAGACAAGCTCTTGATGCTGAATTGCTGGGTCAAAGGTTATATGCATTTGTGCTTTGACAGATACTGTCAGGTTGCCAAGGAAGAAGACAGATGTACTTGAGAGTAAAGTTTCATAAAACAATATACACTGAGATTTTTCATTGATTTCACTTTTAAAAATATTAGTCTCAATTTACAAAATTACTTTCCCAACTCAATAAATAACCACCCAGAATAAGATATGATATTGGCCAATAACCATGGATTCAGGAAAATAAAAAAGAACTATAAGACATTACATTGTTTAACAGAGAAGCCCTGGTGGCACCATGGTGAAGCACTCAGCTGCTAACTGAAAGGCTGGTGATTCCAATCCCCCAGCCTCTCCACAAGAGAGAAGACCAGCAGTCTGCTCCCATGAAGATCTACAGCCTTGGAAACCCTGTGGGCCCTTGTCCTCTGTCCTAACGGCTGTTGTCTTAGTCATCTAGCGCTTCTGTAACAGGACACCACCAATGCATGGCTTTACTCAGCAGAAACTCCTCTTCTCATAGGTCAGGAGGCTGGAAGTCCAGATTCAGAGTGCCAGCTCCAGACGAAGGCTCTCTCTCTGCCGGCACCGGGGAAAGGTGCTCGTCCCTTCACCGCCTGTGAGTCCAGCGTTGTTTGAAGATCTTCGTGTCTTGGCATCGGTCTTGCACTGGGTCTAGGAGCTTCTCAGCACAGGGACCCCAGGTCCAAAGGACAACACTCTGCTCATGGCTTTTTTTTTATTCTTGGTGGTAGTAGGTCCCCCCCTTCTCTTCCCTTGTAAGAAAAAAGGTGAGGCAGGCCATGCTCCAGGGAAACTCCCCTTAACATCTGATCAGGGCTATGACCAGAGGAAGAGTAACGCATCCCACCGTAAACCCCTTACAACCGATTGGCTGATCACACCAGATCACTAATAACAGCAACAGGTTTGCTAACAGGTAAACAACCTACAAGCTTGCTTGCTTTATTCATATTTTCTCTCCTCACCTCAGAGTCCTTGGGCTTAACCCACTGCCATTGAGTCCGTTCTGATTCATAGGGACACTACAAGACAGAGTAGAACTGCCCTGGAGGGTTTCCAAGACTATACATCTTTACAGAAGCACTGTGCCTCATTTTTTTCCTGAGCAATGGCTGATGGGTTCAAACCATCAACTTTTGGTTAGCAGCCAAATGCTTTAACTGCTGCACCAGCAGAGCTCCTTTCAGGCTTAACCTGCTTACAAAACAAAGTCTCAGTTCCTCAGCTTGGCATTCAAGGCCTGGGCCACCAACTGGCCCCACTGCCCCATCTCCCACTGCGCCCCTTAAAGCACCTCACCATCCACTACCCTCCTACTCTGAACCTCCAGGCAGTCTCTGCAGACAGTGCGTAGTGTGCTGCCTCTCGTCAGCTCGACCCACCTGGACCACACTTGTTCCCAGGACTGTACGGCTCCCTTCTCACACCTTCCCTCCTGCTCTTCATGCCTGCCCGGCCTTGGAGATGCTGTTCCCTCAGACAAAATGCCCTTTCAGTCTATGTCCATGTGTCCAAATCCTTCCCAGGCTTCAAAGCCAGCTAAAAAATCTACCTCTTTCTTGAAGCCCTCCTGAATCCCACAGGCGGCAGTAAAAATTATTTTTCCATGAAGGGAGAATATCAAAGATTTTCTAACTGAATCTTCTATGACTCTTACCTTAAGACTACAAAGTGCTAAATTCATCGTCATGTTTTTCCAAAGCGGTTTTGAGGTATGTAAGCAAGATTCTGCCAGTGTTATTGTGATACTTACAAACAACGCATTCATAGTAGGAAATACACCCGACTTCTCCTTTGCCAGCCTCTAGAGGCCACCAGCATTCCTGGGCTCACAGCCCTGCCCCAACTTCAAAGCCAGCAGCACGGCACCTGCAAATCAGTCTGTCTGTCTCTTGCCTCTGCTTCCATCAGCATCTTTCCTCCTCGGGCTCTGGCCTTTCTGCCTCCGTCTCCTAAAGACGCTTGTGACTACACTGGGTCCACCAGCCAATCCAGGATCATCTTCCCATCACACAACCCTCAACGTCATCACACCTACAGAGTCCCTTGTGTCACACTGAGTAATGTATTTATAGGTTCTGGGGGTCGGGACGTGGCTGTCTTTGGGGCTGCCCATTATTCTGTGGACCACACTGTGGTTTGTCTCTATGAGCCAATAATATTCTATTTTCTCTGATGCCGGTAGTGGTTGAGTTTGTTAATTGTCATTTAAAGTCTTAATGAATACCAGGGACCCACTGAAATAAGTACCCTGACTTTTAAAGGGTGGGTAGAAGTGGGAAGATCCACTAGTTAGGGCATATAAATATGAAAACAGAACACCCGAGCTGATCGCTTTGAATGCCTAAAGAGTTAAGCACTTCAGTCAATGGAAATCAAACATAAATTAATGGACAAAAGGCAAACAAACAAACAAAAAACCCAAACTAACACAGACATATGTTGCAAACAAAACTAAATTGCATTTAGAGAGGTGAGAGCCAGGACAGGAACAGATACATGCACACTCACGTTCATCGCAGCACTATTTACAATAGCAAAACGATGGAAACAACCTACATGCCCATTGGTGGAAGAGTGGATGACCAAACTATGGTATATACACACAATGGAATGCTATGCAGCACTAAGGAATAATGTAGAGTCTGCAAAACACCGAATAACATGGATAAACTTGGAGGACATTATGCTGAGTGAAATAAGTCAATCACAGAAGGACAGATATAGTATTAGTTCGTTGTTGTGGAGGGTCAAGGAAAGGTTTATATATGGAAGGAAACTTTTCTTTGTTGGTTGCCAGGGGGAGGGAAGGGGAGGGAACAGTGCAAAAAAAAATGCATTGACCCTTGTCACTTTAGTTTTGTGTATTTCACTGTACATAAATTATATTTCAATAAAATGCATTAATTAATAAATTAAAAATTCCATTTAGATCAAGGAGTATGTTGGTCTACCTTTATCTGCAATGGGGATATCACCCAGAGTACTGTCTTTAGTTCTGTTGTTATGTGCCGTTGAGTCGGCCCCAATTCATAGCAACCCCTCCTTGGGTTTCCAAGGCAGTATCACTACGGATGTAGATTGCCCAACCTTCTTTCCGAGGAGTGGCTGGTGGGTTTGAACCACCAGCCTTCTGGTTAGCAGTCAAATGCCTTAGGTACTACGCTACCAGAGTTCTGCTTGTTGTTGTTGCTGTTATGTGCTGTCAAGTCGGACTCGACTCATAGCTACCCCTCCTTGGGTTGCCAAGGCAGTATCACTACGGAAGTAGATTGTCCAACCTTCCTTCCGAGGAGTGGCTGGTGGATTTGAACCACCAGCCTTCTGGTTAGCAGTCAAGTGCCTTAGGCACTATG